CCGGGAATTCTCCGCCGGTGAGTCTGCGGCTTTTTCCAACGGGAATTTTTGCATCATGGGGAATTGGTGGCACCACTTCGGTTATCACTCCAAACCCCTCGTGGTTGTGATCCGAGGCAGAGCAGCCGGAAAATCCTAAAAATCCTTTTTTAGGAATTGTTCTGAAATCCTTTTTTTAGGAGTTGTTCTGTCCCGGGGATATTTTATTGATTTTTTTTTTTTTTGACAGATTATTGGGCGCTGGGAAAGTCCAGGAACAGCACCTTTGGGTGCTGTGGGGTTTTTTCTGAGGAGGAGGGTGCCGACAGGGAGGGATCGGGGACACATCCCACCGGGATTTGCACAGAGGGTTGCATTGATGCTGTGTCACGACCTCAGGCTAAATCCGGCGACTGCCAACATCCCACTGCTCCCCTGAGGATTCGGTTTGACTCTCATTTCTGGCCGGTGTCGTAGCCACAGCTCAAAGGGGTTTGTGTTCGGGAAGCGATAGAAAACGCAGCGGTGGAGCATGAAAAAAGCTTTTTAAATCCCAAATTATGCCTTAAGTATAGTTTTCCTCCCGAAACACATTTGCACCTGGCTGCAGGGCGCTTGCCAGCCCTCCATGGCTGAGTTTCTTCCTCCTCCTCCTCGCCCCAGGCTCGCAAATCAGCTGCTTTTCTCCCACCAACTTCACGGGGAAGCAGTCCGCCTACGTCGACACAGCTTGCTGGGACTCCCTCGTCCACCATGGCTTCGACGCCGAGGGCCACGCCGTCACCAAATCCCTCTGGGCTCTCAAGGTACGCTTCAAAACTCGCATCCCGGTCCCGTGTGGGTGAATTAAATCAATTAAATCTGCTCGACGCCCGTTTTTGGTTTTCTTTTCCTTCGCCCAGGTTTTCCCCTACTCGCTGCTGGTGGTGGCGGTTCTCATGTACCTTCCCTACCTTCTGTGGCGTTACGCCGCCGCTCCCGCTCTTCATTCCGACCTCCTCTTCATCATCGACGAGCTGGATAAATCCTACAACCGTTCCGTACGCTTGGTGCAGCACATGAGGAAGGTTCAGCA